GCTATAGGCACTCGTACAATTTCTGCTGGCTTATATTTGTGCATCATTTTGTATTGTTCCAATGAATACAAACGATAACAGAAGCCGTTTTGAACGCGACCAGCTCTGCCACTGCGCTGTTTTGCACATGCCTGTGAAATAGACTTTAATTCGAGAATGGTCGATTTGGTTTCCGCGTCATAAAACAGCGGTTTTGCTTTTCCGGCATCAATAACGTAGACGACATCATCTATTGTAAGTGCTGTTTCTGCAATATTTGTAGATAATATTATTTTTCGAACGCCATTTTCCATGCGATCAAAGACATGAGCATGACCCTCATTGTTTTCATCATTTAGTTCGCTATGCAGCGCAAAAATCTTATAACCCCAATCCTGTAATCCATGTACGCTTACTAACTTTTCATGTTGTTCGCATATATCGTCGTAGCTGGGCAAAAATACAAGAATAGCGCCATTTTTTGACGTATTTTCATGGATATGATCAATGACATGAAAAAGTAAGTTGTGATCAATAATATTTTGTGTGCCTTGTGTTGATCGATACGCTCTTCCAATTTCCACGTAATTTTTCCATGTTGTGGTGGATGTCACACGTTCATAACACATTAAGAGCTCACAACCCTCACAACATTCCTCTTGTTTATTCTCTTTCGCATAATCAATTGCGCTTTTACCAAATGGATCTTTAAAGGTCGCACTTTCACCAAAAGCCAAAAGCTTTAACATCATATTCAGTGAACCATTTTCCGCAGCAATTCCCAACACGGTGCGTTGCTTTGTACGATGAACATAATTGGCCGGCATGTAGTCGCCTTCAATGAGAGAAAAAACGTTTTCAAATGATTCACAATCTTTTCGCAAAATATAAGAATCCAGGCGACTGTCGCACATTAAGCGATATGATCGCGGCATGTCTTCTATAGAATGAAATAATAAACAATAAATTAATATTTTACGTAAAGATGCGTTTTTCCAAGCAACGATTTAATCTTTGTGCTTTATAAGGCAACCGATATGTAATATCTAGTATGTCATTTAATAGTTACCATCTTTTATACGCCGAATTTGCGATACTTGATTCTCTTCCAAATATGTGGCCATTTTGCTCGTTTTGTATTCTGTTTTGATTAATACTTCTTCGAGATGCATAGTTTGAACATCAAAAGTACGTCCAGGCACATCGATAATCGGACAACCATTGAAATATCTACTGAATTTTTCGCTGTTTAGCGTTGCTGACATTAGAATTATCTTCAAATTGGGATTGCTTGGCATTGCTTGGAGTCGACTCCAAAAAATGTGGCTTGAAAATTTTGTGTTACCGCATAATTTGCGAGACGTTTCAAATATAACAGCGAAGGTCCAACGAATGTTTTTTCGTTTTGTATAGCTTCGATCAGAGTTTTATCTTCCTGTTTAATCAATTTAATACCACCTCGATCCCAACTGTGCTCAACTCTTTTGTGCTTGTAAATGTTTCCCGAAATATTCTGCTGGCATATATCGCACCAAACCATTTTGCGTTTCCTGTTTAAATTATAAAATAATTGTTGATATAAAAAATGTTAAACTGAGAGTGAAGAGCGATTGAGGTTAGAATATCACGAAAATGTGCATATGATTCTAAACGTTCTAAACTCATTTATTGGTTTTTTTCTCTCTGCTTTACATTTCTTGTTACTGTAAAATCACTTTTCAACAATTTATGAAATCGTATTCAATCTAAACACAATAAAATCACAAAATAACTTACAGTTTGCACACAAAAATTTAATTTTTTTCAACTAATAGGAACTATCGCAAAATTGCGTTATGAAAATAATGTGTTTACGGTTTTGACAGATTATTAATGTCAACGTATACGTATACGTAAACACTTTCTCCACATTGTGGAGAAAAAGACAGATATGTGGCATACCAAGAGATGGTGTTGTATGTTATGAATCTTTTTTCATTGTTTGACATCAGGGGGGGTTGATATATTCTAAGTAGTCTTCTGGATTCCTTTCTTAGCCTCTTTAGGTCCGTATTCCACCAAATGTTATTCTTTATCTTAATTTCACGTTCAGGACATGAAATATGGTACGAGGTCTTCAAAAGGTCTGTCAGACTTTCAGTTGCTTGGTCTAAACGCTCCCTTGTAGAGATGTCGAGACACATTCTTCTGAGTGCTGTGGATCCTTTTCTCACTTCGTTTCGAAGTAACTCCCAGTTTGTATTTCTAGGGTTTCTAAATTTATTCTGTGCTCGGCGCTCACATAATAAGTGGAAGCGAATCTCTCTGTGGTCTGAGCATAGGTGATGACGAGGGTTCCTAGGTGTCGGATGACCCCCCCCTAAAATATTTTTAGGAACCCTCAACAATTTTGGAAATGAGGACCTTTTTTTTTTTTTTTTGCTCTTCACTTTTTTTGGTCGAGAAATTCTTTTGATTTGCTAGGGATTTTCTCCAAAAAAGTGAAGAGCAAAAAAAAAAAACGATTTTATCGTCATTTGCTAGAGAATTTGGAGTTGAAAAATTCTTTCGATTTGCTAGGGATTTTCACCAAAAAAGTGACTTCCAAAAAAAAAAAAAACGATTTTTGTCTCATTTCGTACAAATTGTTGACATCGTCAGGGACCCCCATGGATTTTTCCAGGAACCCCTTACAGAATTTTGCCATCATCCCCCCCTAAAAAATTTTACGTCATCATCTATGATGTGAATACATAGCGAAAATGGTAAGCATGGATTTTTCGTGTATTATGAATTTTGAAGACTCTTTACTATTTCCAGTCGCGTTAACATTCGCCATTTTTTCACGATTCAAATGAAAAATTCAATATTGTATGCGCCGCGTGATCTCAAAATAATAAAAGTCGTGTTATGCAAACGCTGCCTTCTTCTCTCGCTCTTTCTCCTTCAATTCATCATCAGCTCAAAAATGTGGCACACGAGCTGCCTTGAGGAGGCAACGACGTTTATATTTCGTCTATTTTATATGCACACAATTTGCTTGCATCAAGGATGAGCTTGAAAAGTGTGTACGCGCAACACAGAGATGCTCGGGCTAAAAAAGAGTGCTCGAACAATAAAAACCGAATTAAATTTTCACAAAGTATTGTCGTACGGTTGCTTTGACGTTGTCGCATCGTGTATGTAATGTGTATGCAATGGAAAATATTGCGAAAAAAAGCGCATGCTACTCAAAACCATGATCAAAGTGACAAAGACAGAAAGAAAGCACACACAGAGAGAGAGCAAGAAACCCGAAATGGCAGGCCTCGACAAAGCACACAAAGAAAAACAAAAGGCCAATTTAATAGAATCAAAGTGAGCTAATATAAATGCTTTTGTGAACTTTTTTCACTCTTTCTCTCTCTGTCACTTGCCACCCGTCGGTTATTTCTACCTTTTTCGTTTTCTCCTTTCCGTATTCACATATATTTGCTGAACGTTTTGTACTTCCAAGCCACGGCACATAATATCTCAGCCTTTGTAATTTTTACGTGTTTCACTTGTAATCTTGAAATTTCTTTTAAATCACATGGCATTTCTTTCTATTCTCTTGTTTTTATCATTCTATTTTTCGCTGTTTTTATTGTTTCCATTTGAATTGAATCGTTTGTTAGTTGTCCTTAATATATCCGTACCAAGTCTCAAGCGTACATCGTTGAAATTGCATTTAGACTTTTTCTTGCAAAGTACTCCATTCGTAAATCCGCAAACAGACGGAAGAAAGAAAGGGAGAGAGAGAGAGAGAGAGAGAGAGAGAGAGAGAGAGAGAGAGAGAGAAAGAGATGATGAAAATAAAACAAAAAAAGAGAATGAGCAAAAAACAACAACAACCAAAGCAAGTAAACGAAAGCGAAAATTGAAATTTATTTTTATGTCATTTAAACGACACTTCCCATGTGTGTAGAGTGTAAACGCATGTTGTCACAAGTTCAAAAGGTGAGTACTATTTGATATTACGTTCAATGCTGTGTTGATGTCTCTGATATTGGTGTACACGTATGTGTCTTTGTCTCACTCTCTCTCTCTCTCTCTCGCTTTGTCACGGTATATATATATCAAATATATGTTGAGCTCGAGTTGTGAGCGGCAATTGTATATTTATTGTTTGATGTGCGTGTTTTATTTTGTTTCAATGTCGCAGAATATCATTTTGATTGGTGCACTGCACTTGTAGCGATTAAATAGCTTGTTTATTTTATTGTATCATTCATGCATAAGAAGAGAAGAAAAAAAAGTGGCAATAGATAGAGCGAACATCGTTGTACTGCAATATCACAAATACAAATTGTTTACACTGCCGGTTGGATGGAAAATGTTGCCGTTTCATTTAAATTCGTACAAGCACTTTAGTTATGTTGCTACTGCTGTGCTGTGTGTCACCTCTGTCGCTCACTCTATTCATCTATCTCCCTTTATCGGTGTCGCATTCATCAGACCTCCACTCCAAATAAAATAACTTTTTTTCATTCTCATTTCACCGACATGACACACTCCCACTCCCTCTTTCTCTCTCTCTGTTTCGAATATTCTCGAATCAGTCGCAAAAGCGGCTTTCAGTCAAAAGATGTCAGAAAATGTTGGCACAAACTGCTATATATGTTTATGACACTTTTTCTTTGATGAGCTTGAACTCGACGCCAATCCCATGCATACAAAGAGAGAATCCAGAGTGAAGTGAGTGCCTTGCTCAATAGGCAATTTACATGCATTGAAGTCTGCAGAAGACCGAATAATAAGCATGACAACGAATCACTCAATGTATAAATACACACAGACACACGCGAAAATGCTATCATCCACATTCAATGGCTCTGCGACAAACACAAACCATTTCAACCAAGAGAGAGCAAATCATTTGTGACTGAATTGCAAACGGGAATTGCGTTGCCTGCATGCGTATAAGTGAATTTGATTGGATTTATGTCACACACACAGCAGCAGCATCAGCACCAACATACACATAGAGTTAATCAAGAATGAGTTGATATTAACGTTTCATTTATTCATTTTTCTATCGCCACTGTCACCCTGCGTTGTTGCCATTACCGCCCTTTTCCATGTTGTTCATGGATTGGTTTTAGTGCCACTCACTGTTCAGTGCAATTGTTGTACTTTATAATCATGGTAAGCTGACATCAATGGTTCTGACGGTGGTCACATATCGATCCACTGATATGTGTAACGCGTTTGTGCGTGTGTGTATCTGTGTGATATCCCGTTATAAAATCCCAACTCATTTTATTTAAAACTTATAAAAAAGACATTGACCAAATTGTTTGTGATGTTTTTTTATTGCAATCCATATCCTTTTTTTGGGATTAGATAAAAAGTCATCGTTCAATTTTTTCATGTCAGAAACAATCTTTTTATGAGATTTTAAAAATAATCTGGATTTATGGTGCATAATGAATTTTATGTACTGAATTTTACAGTGCCACAAATTTAAATGTATTCGAAACTCATTTTTTTCTCTGTATCTCGTCACTGTCCGTTGTCGATGTTTTGCGGGTGATTGTAAAAACAAAACTTTAGTTTGCCTGCAGAAGAAAAAAAACATGCGTGTAAATATTTTGAGCGCATTTCAATAATTCAGTGATTGAAAGAGCTCTGAAATTCAGGAAAATTTGGTTTAAAATCACATACCATGGTTGTGTGGAGAACATCAAGAAAAAAAATGTTCATACTGGACAAATGTTTAACATACACAGTGCACATATGTTCGATGCCAATAATATTGTTTCGTTGTTTCGTGTTTTTGTTGTGTCATGTTGATGAATACTTGCTGAAGAGAAATATGAGTTTGAAAAGCAGCTTTTTGTTCAAGCAGCTTTTTATAAAAAGTTGCGAACAAACAAGAAAAAAAAAACAAGAAAAACAAACAAAACATTCAATATCCGACTAAAAATGAAAATGGTAAATATTTGTAGTTTTGTTTGCGCATTATTTTACGATGAAATTGTTGTTGCGGTCCGGCGGCTATACAAAATAAAAAACAGTTCACAAGCATCATCTCGAATGGAGATAGCAAACATTGTCCTCTCATTGAGCACCCCCAACGATACATTTTAAACTTATTTATTTTATTGTATTCGCTTTAGTCAGCAATTCCGTTTCAATGTTTGATTCTCTATACATTTGTGTTCGGAAAACACTTCTGTTCTTTTTCTATCTCTCCCTCTCTTTCCGCACAAAGTGTGCGCGAGAGAAATAAATAATGAATTAGACCATAGACGACTACAATGTTTTTTTCATTATTGTTCGCCATCGTCATCACTCTTAATTGTTACTTGCTGTTGATGAAACGTAATAGTTGCACGGCTGCGCGATAAACAGGTCGATTTACATGAAACTATCACGGACTGAGAAACGGTACAAATATAAATGATGAGAAAAATACCAAAACGCGAAATAGACGCGCCCGCGAAACATTCAGGATAAAGTCTCCTTGCAATTGAATGGGTTGCAGAGCGAAATGAGAGAATCTAAAGAGAAAAATTACGAACAGAAAAAAACGTCAACTGAAAAACTTCGCTGCACATAAAACATAAAGTGGGCATGTGATCACACAAGTAAATGTCATGTATGCATTTTGATAACAAATGACAAAATAAAAATTAACTTTTGAAACAGGACTCGCAAAGTTGAACGAGAAAAAAAAAGATTGTTTTTTTACAAAAAAAAAAAAAAAAACAAAATGGGAGAAAAACGAAGGAAATGGCGAGAAAGACACAGAAAAAAACAGTTGCATAATGAATGGAAATGGCTGAAAGCAGAGAAAATGCCATTAAATTAATTTCTTCGGTAGTCGATGCGAGCACGACTCGTTTGTTGGATACATTTCTCGTTCTGTACACGCAATGTTGTCGTTTTTTTAGATGCTG